TTTCAGGTGGAGGGTCTGTCAAATGCTTTTCTCCATGGTGACATTATTGCTATGTCTGGAATGTTTCACAGTATGGCATTAAAACTTTCAACCTTCATGGAGACCAAACTAGACCAAGTTACAGGTCAGATCTGTGGAGAGGCAAACCCGCTCACAGTCAGAATGCCTCTTTTCTAGGTATTTTTGAGCAATAAATCCACCTGTAATTTAAACAGTATAAGGTAGGGGTATTTAATGTCACACTGTGGAACTTTTCAGGCAGAGCAGTAACTATTCATAGAAACAAGCAGGTGACAGACACCCAACCAAAAAGTTACATAGTGCACCTTTACATACTATAGTAGTATAGAACACACATAGTTAAACAATGTTTGGTGTGTCATTTTCTTTGGTGCTTTGTAAAATGTAGGCCAACATGTCAGAAAAGAGCTGACAGTTCAATAGCCACAAGTGAGTGACTCAGAAGGATATTGCTGCAGTCAGTCACACCTGAGAGGGACATTACAAGTCTTTACATCTGAAACAGTGGGTTCAGGTGTAAATGTGTTAAGGCTATTGCACATAAGATATGTGTGCTTTATAGGTGTGCCAGCACAACTTTGTGGTGGACAAGCAAGTGAAGTATTTTAGGCTTTCTATTTGGCATTCTATATATTATATCTGATGTACAAGGAAGATATTATTGCCATAGTAATATTTATGATTTAGCGCACTGTGTAACATTTTGGTTGGGCTCCATCACCTGCTTGTTATTGATGTCATTGCTCTGCCTAAAATGCTCCACAATATAACGTTAAACTGCTTTACTTTACTTTTATTAAATTACAGGTGGTGTTATAGAACAAAAATACATAGAAAAATAGCCATCCTGACTATGAGAATGGAATGTCAGTGCTATTTGGCGGCTAGCACTCATGCCTCACAGCAAGAAGGTTCCGGGTTCGATCCCCGGGTCACTCGGGCCTTTCTGTGTGGAGTTTGCATGTTTCTCGCCGTGTCTGGATGGGTTTCCTCCAGGCGCTCCAGTTTCCCCCAACAACCCAAAAACATGCTACAGGTCTCCAGAACAGTTGATAGTCAAGGTCAGTTAAATACAATCAATCAGCGAACCTGCCCAGGGACTACAGGTGGAAATTAGCACTGGTACTAGTGGCTAGACACTTCACCCACATTGCCTAGCATGAAAGTGGTGTGTGTGTGAGTGATGGTGGTGGTCGGAGGGACCGTTGGCACCGATTGGCATGGCAGCCATGCTTCACTCAGTCTGCCCCAGGGCAGCTGTGGCTACAACAGTAGCTTACCATCACCAGGTATACAGTGAATGAATAATGCTGAATAATGCTCTGTAAAGCGTCTTTGTGACAAAATGTCTATGAAAAAGCAGTATATAAATAAAGACTTACTATCTGAACAACTTTGTAATAATGTCTTGCTAGTTAACAACAATTTACAACAAAATTAGAGCATGTGTCTTTTTGAATTAATGGACCAGAGCCACATTTTATATAAATAAAAATACACATAATACATTGTACTTCATTTCACTTGAGAGTCGCTGTGTTCTGGTGGTTTGAGCAGACCCTGTCACTTCTAATCTTCCCCCCAGATTCATTATAAAAAAAAGGTCGACCAAAGCATCCTCTTAACAGTACTGGCTCAGTCTCTTGTTCCTTCCTCTTTATCAAATGTTGCTCTAAAGGTGAAAAATGACATGCTCTTTTTCCACTGGAGTCTCACAAAGAAATGAAAAACAATACAAGTCTGCCTTAACTACTGTACTCTCACTTCACAGTCCCCCTGCCTCTCACCATTGAGCCCAAACAAAACACTGATATCCATTAAAGGGTGAGGGTAAGTAGCTTGGCACAATCTTGCCGTTTTTACCTTACAATGCAGCACATATTAAAACTCGTGTTCTGATTTATAATGACTGTAGAAAATAGCTTGGCTTCAAATTTAATCAAAGTTATTATATTTCAAGTT